CTTAGCGATATCTTCCAATTCTATTATTGACAGGCTGTAATTAGCTTCATCTCAGGACACGATCAACTCACTCAAATTAGCTTAATCTCGGCATCAATTAGCTTAATCTCAGCATCACTCTGTCACTCCCTCAAATCTGTCAACTTACCTTACGTATATTTTTCCATACATAGCTCATTGTACATCTATTTATTTGTAAGAATCTCAATACAAAAATTAACAAATAGTTTTTAGTCCAATATTCTTCTTCTCCTTCTTAACATGGTATCAGCCTAAAGAAACGATCCATCCATAATATCCATTCTGCCATGGCCACCAACAACAGCACACACATTCCCTCCCCTTACCTTCTTCATCCCTCTGATTCTCCCAGTCTAATTCTCGTCAATAACCTTCTCACAGGCGACAACTACCCCAAATGGCAAAAAGCCATGACCAGAGCCCTTAATGCCAAGAACAAACTTGTTTTTGTTGATGGCAGCCTCACACCCCCTGAACCAACCAAACCAGAATATACTCAGTGGAACCAAACGAAGGATATGGTCTTTACCTGGATTCTCAACTCCATCAGCCCTTCCATTGCCAATTCTCTTGAATACCATACTGATCCCCGTGATGTCTGGCTTGATCTTTCTTCCCGTTTCTGCCATGGAAACAATGCCCGCATCTACCACCTCAAACGAGCCCTCTCTTCCCAGCAACAAACCACAAATTCTGTCCACGATTACTACAACCAAATCAAGCAGATTTGGGATGAACTTGGCCATCTCCAAAACCCAACTGAACTCAAAGACCTGCAAAAACAGGTTGACGATGAACATGTTTTCCAATTTCTCCTCGGACTAAACGACTCCTTTGCTTCCCTTCGCACCCAAATTCTGGCCATGGATCCACTTCCCTCCATAAGCAAAGTCTTCTCCATACTGTTCCAAGAAGAACAACAGAGACTCCTCAATCTCCAAGCACCATCCTCCGAAACACTCGCAATGGCTGCCCGCACTGTTGCCCGCCCACGAACTCCTCTGAAGTGCACAGCATGTGGCAAGAATGGCCACACGCGTGAACGCTGCTGGACCATCGTTGGATACCCTCCAGGTCGCGAGCCTCGCTTCAACATGTCACGGCCTTCCATCTTGGGGAAACCTCCCTCGACTGCAAATCAGATCTCTCTCACTCCATCCACTTCCATTCCAGTCCCTGGGTTGTCACCGGAGATGTATCAGAAGCTGCTCAGCCTCCTAGCACCATCGCCCACTCCGACTGACCCATCCCCTACGAATTTCGCTGGTAACCTCTTCTCCCCTTCTGATTTTCCCTTCAATCGCCGCCTCCATTGGGTGGTGGACAGTGGTGCGAGCCACCACATCTGTCACCACCGTGAATCCTTTGTTGATTTGAAACCCCTTGCCTCTCCTTACCATATTCGGCTCCCAACTGGGGAGGATATCCCAGCCCAAGGGCTGGGCACATGTGTTCTTTCCCCCTCCCTCACCTTACGAAATGTTTTTTTTGTTCCCTCTTTGTCCTTTAACTTACTTTCAGTTTCCCAAATTGCCCTTCATAATTCTTATGTTATCACTTTTTCTTCTAACACTTGTTTATTTCAGGACCCTCATTCGATGAAGCCGATTGGAGCGGGTGATCTATGCAATGGGCTCTACGTGTACCGTCCCGACCCTCCTGTCATTTTTGCTGCTCAATCTACTACAAATAAGACCCTATGGCATCAACGTCTAGGTCATCCTTCTAGTTTTACCATTCCAAGTATTTTTAATTCTCCTTGTACTCTCACTGAATGTGATGTATGTGCTCGGTCTAAGCACACAAGATTACCTTTTTCCAATTATGCCAATAAAAGTGATTCCCGTTTTACATGTATTTTTTGTGATATTTGGGGTGGTTATCATACGACATCTTTATGTGGAGCTCATTACTTTCTCACAATTGTTGATGATTTTTCTCGCACCACATGGGTATATCTTATGCGTTTTAAATCTGAAGCTTACACCCATTTAATGCACTTCTTCGCCCTTGTCCACAACCAGTTTAACACCACAGTTAAAATTATTAGAACTGATAATGGACAAGAATTCCTTTCTCACCAATTTCAAACTTACCTACACAATCACGGCATCATTCATGAACGTACCTGTGTTGAAACTCCTCAACAAAATGGCGTTGCGGAGCGTAAACATCGGCACCTTCTAAATGTTGCTCGCAGTCTTCGTTTTCAAGCACATTTACCTCTACATTTTTGGGGTGATTGTGTCCTCACCGCAACCTACCTCATCAACCGCACTCCCAGTCGCACTCTCCATAACAAATCACCTTTCGAAATTCTATTCAATAAACCTCCCAACTATGAACACCTTCGTGTATTCGGATGCCTCTGTTATGCGCAAACTCTTAGTGCTCATCGCGACAAGATTTCTCCCCGTGCCACTAAATGTATCTTTCTTGGTTACCCAAGCACACATAAAGCCTACAAGCTATATAATCTCAACACCCACTCCGTTTTCTATTCTCGAGATGTCACCTTTCACGAACAAACATTCCCTTTCCAAGACCTTCCTAACAATCCATCCCTTCCCACACCTATCCCTTCCATTCCCGTCCCTCACCCTGTTACACCTCTTTCTCCTGACTCGCCAGTCCCTCCATCCCCTCCTGACTCATCCGACTCTCATGACTCCCCAACCCCCACAACCACACCTCCACCCGCTCCTACTCCTCGCCCTCGCCGCACTATTACTCGACCCGCCTACCTTCAAGACTATATTTGTCCCACCTTACATACGGAGCCCACGGCATCTACACCTACTTCATCGACTTCAGGTACTGCTCACCCTTTGTCTGCTTTCCTTTCATATTCTCGTTTTTCACCCTCGCATATTACTTATTTAACTGCTCTTACATCTTATACTGAACCCACATGCTATTCTGCTGCTATCCGCCACTTGCACTGGCGTGAGGCGATGTCTGCTGAGCTTCGTGCTTTAGAGGATAACTCGACCTGGACTCTTGAGCCTCTTCCTCCTGGTAAGAAACCCATTGGGTGCAAATGGGTTTTCAAAACCAAACTCAAAGCTAACGGATCCATTGAGAGGTACAAAGCTCGACTCGTTGCCAAAGGATACACTCAGGTTGAAGGACTTGACTACCATGAAACCTTTGCTCCGGTTGCCAAAATGACCACGGTCCGCTGCTTACTGGCAGTTGCAGCTTCCAAAAATTGGATAATTCATCAGCTTGACGTCAACAATGCCTTCTTGCATGGGGATCTTGATGAAGAAGTCTACATGACCCCACCACCCGGCTATTGCCCTAAAAGGGAAACCCGCATCTGCCGACTTCGAAAATCCCTATATGGTCTCAAACAAGCCTCCCGCAACTGGTTTTTTAAACTAACATCTGTACTCCTTGATGCAGGTTTTTCTCAATCTCAGGCGGATCATTCTTTGTTCACTCGCATCACTTCCTCCAGCATCTCAATACAAAAATTAATAGACAGTTTTTAGTCCAATATTCTTCTTCTCCTTCTTAACATCTATCGGAGGAAATCTCTCATTTCTATTTTCTAAAGAAGATTTCATCATCTCGGAGAAGAGTTCCCAGCTCTTTTCTTGATCTAAGAGTTTCANTCTATTGGAGGAAATCTCTCATCTGTATTTTCTGAAGAGGATTTCATCAGCTCGGAGAAGAGTTCCCAGCTCTTTTCTTGATCTAAGAGTTTCAATTCAATCAAAGAGCTTTCACCACCTATATATCTTCCCACAGCAGTATACCGAGAAGTAATGATAATTCTGCTACCATTTCTCGAGTTGATGGGGATAAATTTTTTTAACTCATCCCGAGATTCAAATTTCCAAATATCATCAAGAAAAATTAAGCACCTTTTTTCATTGAGCAGAGAAAGCAAGTTGACCTTCAAATTTTCCTTTATCTTTTCTTTTTCAAGGCCAACTTGCTTTGCTATTTCATGTAAAAGCTCTTTGATTCTAGGCTCATTTGAGACATAGACTAAGGCAGAAGAAGTAAACTCGTTTTGCATGTCATTATATATTTTTTTAGCGACGGTGGTCTTACCTACACCTGCCTCTCCTACAACACATATCATTTTACACACTGAGTTTGAGCTCCTCAATTTTTCCTTGAGTTCCTTCAATTCATCTTCCCGGCCGACAACCATTGACTCCGTGGCAATTAGAAATTCTTTTCTTCGATTCCATAGGTCCATATCTGTGTTACCTGTTCGATTTTATGTGGTTCATATTTATAAGATTCCGTTTAATAATTATAACTTGAAAAGACATAATTATTTGGTCCATAGAAGCTCTTTCCTACTAATTGGACAAAGAAAAATAGCTCCCTCCTCTCCTTATAAAAGATCATGGAAGACTATCAAATTAAAAGTGCAATTTAGAGATCTTGATTTTTCATATTTATGTTTTTTTTTTCTCATTAAAATTCACATTTTCAGATTTATATTGATCTAAATGAATAAAATTTGCATACCTCCATCCGTATCAAGATTAATACGACATCTTTCTCTAGTGGCTTCAATTTCTTGGGCCCGTCTCTTGATTTTTTCGATTTCCAGGGCAAAGTCATTGGCAGCGCAAACATAACATAATATACAAGCAGCAAGCTTAACGAATTGAAACAGCCCCTTTTTCTCGTGCAATGCAATCTCTTGGAGGTAATCGTCCAAAATATCCTCTATGTCAAGAGCTAGATCTCTCGTGTCATTTATAAAGTTTTTTACTTCGTGGTTTCCTTGTTTCAATTCTGCATCTTTGAGACACGATTTGAAGTGTCTCATTTGTCGTCCATTCCATGTTCTCCTTCAATCTATGAGAGCGTGAAACTGTTTCGACCAATGGTTGGTCGGCTATCTCTACTGATTTGTTAATGACTGCTATAAGTGCTGCTGATGAGACCGTCTAATCTTGTTTTCTCTCAAATGTAGTATGTGAAATACAATGAATCAAATGAAACTCAAGATTGTATTAAGCAGTGGGAGATGAGAATGGAATGGCTATCAGTACACATAAATATAGTACTC